TAATAATAATAATAATAATAATAATAATAGAAAAGAAAAGAAAAAATGCTACCTTTTTTTCACCCCGATTAAAAAACAAGTTATAACAGGAAGATGTCTCAGCCTGAGAGTGGGTGGCTGTGAAAGTAAAATCGGGGAGGGAATAGATATTTAAAATGAAGATGACACATGAGATTGTTACCAGGCCTCGGCGGGATCTCCTGAGACGTGGGTCTGACTTTACATTTCACAGTCTCGTGTGAAAACAAGTCACTCTGAAGCAAAAGCACACAGACCCTCTCAGAAGGAAGCCCCATTTGGCCTAAAATACATAAGAAGGCTTTCTCTAGTGGTGATGAGAAGGGAAATACTCTGTTTTCACAATATAATGACACTGTTGAGTGTGTGTGTGTGTGGGGGGGGGGGGGGTTACAGATTTAAAATTCATAGAAATAACCACACCATTCTATTTCCTTATTTAATGCTTTTATACATTAAACATGACAAACTTGCACTTTTCTATTCAAAGTTTAATCTCAGTTGTGCCAACATGAGGGGGTTTGCAAACAGATATAACCGTTGAAATCAAAATATGTTATTTACGCACTGTGAAAATTCCCACTTGTATCTTTTTCATAATAACATAAGTGCTTGTGTTTGTCTGTCTGTTGTGTTAGCAAAATGTCTCATGAGCCACATTTTAATTACACTCATCAGAACAGCTTATTAACTTTTAGAGGTAATTTAATTTCAGTTTGACCACAGAAAACACAAAAAAATGACTGTTACTTTAAATTTTGCAAAGTATGGGCTAAGATTTGGAGTTGAAACAATGAATGGGTTTGAATTAAAGCTTTAGAAAAGCCTAATCATTGAATGTATTTACAATTAATTAACCTTTTTAAAATCCAATTCATGGTGCTGATTTAATCTGTTTAGTTTTCATTGAACAGTCCTTCGGTTCAGCTCTCATTACAGGAGGTTTGCTTTGGAAATGAAACTGTGTTGACGTCTCAAAGCATGATGCAGTCATACAGGTGTGCACACCTGATGAAAAGCATGACAGATTAGTTTGTTCATGAACATGGCACAGCTTTAACAATACTTCTTAAAATGCTCAGTTTTACTATGCATGTTTTATATATTTACCTGGAATGTAACTATATTAAATATCTGTGCAGCAAAAACGTCATGGTAACTGGAAATTTATTATTTGACCTAGTTCTTTGTCCTTTCAAATAATTTCGCATTTTCCCTCGCCGCCTGCATAGTTTCCACCTGGCAGTGTTGCCAGGTTCGATAAATGTTTACGGTGTTGTACAACATGAGAAATCGTTTTTAAAAAGACTAAACATAGAAAAGTTTTGGCATTTCCAAACTCCGACATATTATTGTTTGATTTAATCAGCCGACCTCCCTCTTTTTGATTTTGTTTACATTACAATAATTTAAAAGCGGCATATTTGATATATCGTCATTTCCTTACCTGGCAACCCCGCATCTTGACCTTCACACGTGTTGCCGTACAGAGCCACGCCGAACCGCGACGAGCAGGTGTTTAAGGATCCTTTATTAGGTTAAGGTARAAATGTAAACAGCTCATCTGTAACRTAGAGGAGTAYAAAACATTGTAGTGTCACACTGACTTTGTTAAACTACCGCGGGATGTTAAAAAATGGCGACTTTTGTGACAGCACGTCGCATCTAAACATGCTAGCATGCTAGTTAGCTCGGTTAGCGAATTAAAAACAGCTTTAGCATCTTAGCTGTGAAATGCAATAAAATAACCTTTGGAGTACTGTTTTCACAAATGAAGCATGATAAAACCCATTAATAGTTGTTAATGTTGAATAGTTTAACTTTTGGTAGCWTTACTACTTTGTTTGCATAACCAGTCCTATTACAATATTGCTCAAATTGGTGAATTAGTTTAGCAATATTTTCAATGATATATTTCTATTTAATTGTTTAATAAATATTGTCATTCCAATCATAACTCTCCCACTGTCTTTAGATTAAATAG